TATATAATCTTCATTTGCACCACCCTCTCCATGCCTGGCTGCCATGCTACCCGAAGGAATCGCCATGGTTGAAATACTGGGGTTAGTTTAGAACCAAAGACTTGGTTAGTAAGTTCACGCCCTAATCACTAGGCTATCCCGAGCGTCGTTTTTACCACAAAGCATTAAGGCGACAGTAGTTGAGGTCATAGTACGAATTGCCTTGTACCGAAGAAATAATGCCTGTTTACTAGGTACTAGCAGAAGAAAAGGTGCAGACTTTGAACTGGTGCACGGCTACCGTGCTACTGGTAAGTTGCTGCTGGTTGCTGCTAGGTTGCGCAAGTCTAGACAGATGCAGTCGAAGTGCCAGGGCTCGATTTGAACCACGGATCCTCTCCTAACCCTAGCCATCTCGGCTGAGGCATCACTAAACCATATAAGCGACTTGCCTCTACTTTGGAAGCATGAATCCTGAAGGATATTCGAACCCACTGCCTTCCCCTAGTCATTCATTTTACTTCACGTGAGGCCTGGCTCCTTGAGTGAAATGAGGCGAGCATTGCTAGTGGTTCTCAACAAGAGTGAAACTGCGTTTCTCGACTTTTCACTGCAAGCTAACTTTACTCGTAAAACAGAGCTCCCCCACTAAGTTGTCCTTAGGTTTGTCATACGTAAGTCCGCCTCACCATTCATTTTAAAATTTTATCCAAGTGTATGTTGCTACTCTAATCGCCTCTGCTTGCGGGACCGCAGCAAGAAAAACTTGGGTCTTTGTGTTCGTTTCAAGACATTCAGCCGTGGTCGAAATAGCGCTAACGGATTTCAGACGATACAACGAGTTCTATAACAATCTTGTCAATCTGGAAATTTTGGTTGGCAGAGAAAATTTCATACCTGCCACCAACAGCCTATGGGATCTTAAATTGCTTCGGTCACTATCGTAGGCTGCATGAAGATGCTAGAACGCTCCTAACTATCCTATGATTTGGAATAAATTCATTCATCAATCCGACTTCTTAAACAGCTTAGGTTTTAAATTTCCAAATCGGCAGTTCCACCCCTTGAAGTGGCAAGCAGTCATTTCGGCAGTTCCCCCATTGAAGTGGCAAGCAGTCATTTGTGTATTGCTTTTATTGATTCCTACCTTCTATTCCTTTACCCTGAATTCTTCCTTCTAAAGTTGGTTTAAAGTGATGCGTGTTATTTTCGTCGTAGCAGTCACGGACTCAATGGGAAATTCGGCTTTCCTCATCTTGGGTTCTGTCTGTTTCCAGTATGTCACTTCAACTTTGTCTGAATTAGGGTTGAATGATGTTCGCCAATTTATGCGCGAGAGAGGTCCAGCACAGCTCACCTGTCCACACGCGGCTCACTGTAAGCCGTGTTTGGGGTTGTCTGTCTAACATGACTTCTTGCGGTAGGATTCGATGTAACAGAGAAATCCGGTGTGAGATTCTAAGTCACTGAATTCTGATGTTTCTATTTTGCGCCCGCCTGTAGGCAGACTTGGACACATCGCTCTTAGCTATGGTTGGTACTAACCTGTAAGCTAGCGTCTAACGCGCTTGCATGTATACCCGCTGAGAGTGTATTACGTTGTGCTCTTCCTTAGACACTTACTTATTCATTTCTACCCACTCATCTTCTAGGATCCGTATGGCATTCTGCCTCTGGCGGTCAGTACTGGAGCTCGTTCTGATTCTATCATATACCTGTGCTTGCTGTCATTTTACTGAACAGTCAGTCATGTGTTTCAACTCATACTATAGCATGCCAGCTTTTGATAGAGCTCTGTTCCAAGCATGCTGTTTGTACACTTGGGCTAACCATTATCTCTTCGGATAGTGTCCTCCGTGAACCTGTTTCTCGTTATGCTGCCTATGAGCACACGTGTGTAAACTTCTTGCTCGTCTTTCCGAACACCACCATAGACAGTAACGTTCTTGTTTACGCGAATGCTGCACTGCAGCACAGTCACGGTTTGCGCAATTATCTTTTAAGCCCTGAGGTGAAAGAGGGTGGATACGTAATGGGCATGTTGCTGGCCTACTGCATTCCTTTTGAGGTGTTCACAGGTCTAAACGTTGTCATACGATTTGACCGCGCAAAACCCACTGCTATCGGTTAGTCGCCATATATTGCAACGCCTCCAGCTGGACGTAAGGAGAGTCTTGGCTACCTCACTGGAATTCAAAGTGGACAGCCAGGACCAACCATACTTCGTGATTTTTCTCACAACCTTCTGTCAACCTCATATTCTGCAGTAGGCATGAAAAAGATCGCCCGCCTCAATAGACTATACTTCGGTGGCCGATCCACCATATAGTGATCTCACCCCGACCGATAAGTTTGTCGTGATCATGATACTTGAATAAGCCAGCATAGTGTCCCTATTTCATTTAACGAGCATGTAAGGAGTGAGGTTCATTCTTCACTGTTGATTTTCACTTATCAGACCAAATGTATTTTCATGATGTTCTAACCAGGAAACACCGGGTGATACAAATATATCACGCTGTTCTCCCGCCCAGGGCGTTTGACGCGAACTACCCCCAACCGCTTCTGTATGCTGCTCATTCAAATTGGATTGTCTGTATGAGGTTCCACCAGTTTATCTAAAATGCGGTAGGATTTTTTTATTTTGGCAGAACTGATTGCGCTCGAACGATTTTACGTTCGGTATACACTTATTCAGCGAAGCATTATCCTTTTAGCCCCCGTTTTCAAACCATTGGAAGTGACTATGGCGGTCTTACCTAACACATTCGAATAGATGCTGTAAAAACGGAAATTCTGTAAATATTTAGTTATTCCGCGTCACTTCAACCTACTTTATAGCATCCTCACGTTTGATGATGACTAATGTGCACGTAGTGTAAGCAGAAATATCATTCAGGAAAGGTCAGATCAAGAACATACTATGGATCTCATTTGACAACAGCGCTGATGAAAGTCAGAACCAAAGGGCATTTTCCTCGTGAGGTTCATTCCGGGGCGGGGGGAGGGGTTTGAAGGAAATACTGAAGTGGCCATTTTGGGTATCCCAACGTTTTTCGGTATTCCCACAGCGGTTTCGTCCTGCTTTGTTTTCTCGCCTGCTTCATTTATTCCGGTTGCTGATATATCCTACCAACCTTTAACCTACTATATCAGCATATCCGTATGTCACACGTAAATGACTTCGCTGCCACTCTTCCGTTTCCAAGGACCCTTATGCATGTCTACCCCTATCGGTTAGTCCACCTAATACGCTCGCCCTACATTGTAGCTTGCTTCAATCGCATTGGCTTGCAGCTGCATAGTTCTCGGTTTAGTTTTTGGCTATTTTTCCTAGGAAAATTAACTTCCTGTTCTTTGGGTAGAATGCAGATGTTTGCATAAACTCCGAGTCCTTACACTTGTTTAAGGCATTATTTATCGAGAGTATATCAAACAACGAAGAACTGACCGAATTTATTGCGTAAAATAATTTGTGGATTATATGCTCATTCTTCCCCTGTTACCACATCAACGCGTTCTACATGGAGGGCTCGAGCTCAATCGGTTGATTGGCTCATCTCCCTACATCCCGTCGTTTGAATCGATTGGTTTGATTGGTTCCCTGGTCCAATATTCACACGGTTCACTTTCTTCCAGAACACCACAAACTCCCAAGCTCACATGACCTATAAGTTAGCGAAATTCATTTTTTTACGAAAGGATCGATTCATCAGCCGTAATGGCTCTTTAGCCATGGAGTTGGGGAATTTGAACTGACTCAAACACTGTCAGGTTTCCGGGGAAATAATGGGACAGGGCGAGGGAAAATCTTTCTAATCAGGGTAATTAACTTGAAGACTGTTTTCGCTGAACATGCAAGATTCCCTGCAAAACCCAGCTTCCAGATTAATGTATACTGCGCTACTGTCTGTACAGAATACGATGTCTACCAACGGTTAGTACTTTCTCATCCATCTTCTAGGGACCCCGCTTAGTCTAGTGACTCCTTAGTTTTGGATCGAAATAGATGTTATCGTATTGCATCCCAAACCATGGTAAGTCGTTCCTTCTTTTTCCGCCAAAACCTCCTAACCATCCCTACTAATCTGGTGGTCTCATTTGGCACTTTTATTTTCGTCTATATTGGGTGGTCCATACATCGAGTTCAGTTGTTTTTTACGGCCCTTTCTAGCATCTTATAGCTACGAATCTTCACTTTTAGATATTTTTCGTCTTTTCTCGCAACTTATTGTTGTGTTTATGTTACCTACAGGGCGAATCAGACTTTTCGCGGACCATGCAGCAAGTTGACCCAGGACACAAGGGCTATGTTACGTTTGATAGTTTCCTCAATTTCGTCACACGGGAGAATGCTGACGAGGACACTGCTGAACAGATCACTCAGTCATTCAAGGTACTTTCCGGAGACAAGGTACGTTCATTTCAATTTCGAAAATGCAATTACCTGATGGTTAGTTTCTTCAGCCTGGCGATTGTGTTCGCCCATGTGTTTGTGGTGTCGCCAGCGACACACACTCGGTTTTCTGTGCCAACTGCGCTGAATAAACAAGTGCTTAGCACACATGTCATTTGTGCAAACATCCCAGTCAAAATAAAGTGTCACCTTCACGTCACCCAAAAATGCAGACAACACAGGACTGATGTAGCACAGACATGGCACGTAGGGGGATGATTTCGGAGCACTTTATCCTTCGTATCGGCGGCAAGCAGACAATGCACCCCAAAGCTATTTGGCATACTGGTATTAGGAATGTGAAAATGCTCGTCTACAGGACGGCAATCAGTCTCGTCTACAAGGATTCATGACTATATGTATCTTCTTCGGCTTATTTGCCTATGTTATCTGAGTGCTGCAGCCTGGTATTCATGTTTGCGGGATGTACCTAAAGTTTCGTACCACTATTGAACCCTATTTTGGTCCGTATGAGTATATGACTGCATTTCTTGACGTTTTCCAGGGCTATGTAACGGCAGATGACCTGAGGCGCTATTTGCCACCGGACGATGCTGAGTACTGTATCAAACGGATGATGCGTGCCTCTGGTCCCCATGGGGATTCCGGTGCACTTAATTATGAGCAATTCACACTGGAGATTTACGGGTCGCAGAAGCCGAAATAAGTACCAAAGTCTTCGAAAGACATTTGAGTTGTCACACTTCAGTCATTCCTCGATCGACTGTTTCTGGAGATTCTTTCTCCCCTATGTCAAGCAGCCTTATTTCAGTCTTCCTTGCTTTTCTGTGGAAAAAGATGGTATTGCCTCCAACATTTTTTACTTCTCCCTAATTATTTGATACCCTTTGTTTCCACTTTGGTGCCTACGCTCAATTTTTGCTTCGGTTAAGGGGTGTGGACCCTCAGTATTCTTTCGTTGTGCGAGATTTTGAACTCTTTTTCTTCAATTACGCCGATTATTCTAGCCTGGTTGTAGACCTATGAAACGCATCCAAACTGCTGAAGTTGCTAACGCAATTCTTCCGCTTGTCTTGTTCGCGCTACGTTCTCTTCACAATTACGCGCTTGTCTTCGTAAGATTTTGTCATCGTCAGTTTTGTATTCTCGCCGGGGACGACATGGCGTTTGCCATCCGACTTGGCAAGCTCATCTTTGCTCGGTTGATCCTTATCTCTGCTTCTACTTATCTTGGAGCCTGTCGATGTTTGTGCCTGTACTTTTGGTTCGAACATCTCAACACTGGCTCTTATATATTTCTTTGCCGTTTATCTGCACCACTCAGTCAAACACTCATGTGCGCTATTCTTACCTTGAGCGGACAAACATAGAGTATTATGCTCCAATCCTTCCCTGCTCATGCTTACTGTCCTCGGTTTTCAGTGTCAGTGGTTTGGCTCGTTTGTGCAAAGTTGATAATGTTTATGGGGTTAGGATATACACAGTCGTTAAAAAAACCGTGCGCGTCTGATGACACCCTTCAGTTGACGCCAGTTAGTCGGATTTATCTGTGCATAGACTTAAAATGTTGATATATGACTGTCTGTTAAACTCGTCGCACGGTAGCCAGACGTAGGCAACTGTTCGCACGAGGGATCCTCGTCCAGGTTTCGGTAACTATGATCCAGTTGAGGATACTGGCCGGGGATCACTTCCCATTTGTTGATAATCCTGTGAGCCTGAGGTTTTGGTTAGTAGAGCGTTTTACCACTAGTCGAATCTGGACGCGTGGTTCATGATAACTTGTGTTCAGGTATGTCTCTTGAATAGAAATGGATTTTATTCTGTCATAACGAATTCGCAAAATTGTTTCTATCTTCCCATGTGACGCATTCACATCACGGTAAGATCGGACCTAAAGCGAAACTGGCCGAATTTGGCACTTTGCTCAGGTTTTTTTTATCATAAAGCCAAGAAATGGAGATGGTAGCCATACAATCAATTGGTTGGTACTTAACGGTGAATCAAGCGTTGGCTGTTGTGGGACAGGTCACTCTATCTGTTGTGTGCAACAAAACGAGTGAAGAAACCACACCAATGATGACGCTTACTGTTTTCCGTATTATCTTACCTTACGCAATGACTATCTTTCGCGGAATGAGTGCATGTCCACTGGCTATTACTGTTCCGTGCTTCCGTCTCAGACTGCACCGGCGTTTATAACTTGCATCTCTTGAATGCGAAGCTTCGGGTGAATGCGAGCCAAAGAGTTGCTCTCTCGCCAGTAGCTTTTCCCCCCTAACAACGTATTCGCCGAGATTCGTTTACCGTTTCTAAGTTCAGGGCATTCTCCAGCACTACTGGTTGAGAGCACGTAACAACTTAGCAGCAGTTGAGTTCGGTCTTCTGGTGCAGCTTTAGCTCTCAGTTTCCAGTTGATTTACTCTCGAACAGCCGTCTTTGGTCAGTTTGTTCCTTAAGGATTTACAAGTCGCGTAATTAGGCTACTCCCTGCTCCAACCAAACATGGCTCTGAGAACACCATAAACGAGAGATTCAGCTGGGTTCCAGGTGAGTCTCTCCAAAGAACCAAATTAGTTTGCAAATGAGCGTATATTCGCTAATTTCGTGCAATTTGGTTTCAAGTAGAACATAAGGTTGACCGAAACCCGGGGACTGCGCCTACCTGATGAGCCCCAAGAAGGGCGAAACTGGTCGTGGGCTGTCGATGGATTTTCAGCAACCTTATGAGTAGCACATTACAAAAATGGCTCTGACTCATTGAAGGACACGAATTGCTACTTTCTTCACGCTTATTCACTGAGGATAGCTTTGAAGTAATTTCACTCGGAGGAAATATGTGAGATACATTTAGTCAGAGACTCGTTCCTGTGGTCCCCATCTTCGACACAATACACACCGTTTCGTACGCCATTCGCTTTAATCATTATTTTTTTCGTCAGTAGTGTGGAATCAAGCACAGTAAGCATCCTCTTCGGGCTACCAATTTGATCCTATAGCCACTAGCTACTGATGGCGGTGTTCTGACCATCTTTTCGGAACATTATCATTGATTCATACTATGCATTGGCAGTTTTCAAATATATTCCCTGGATCCCCCTTTAGCTTTCGAGCAGTCCTTACAACTACTAAACTGCAAAAATTCATCCTTCGAATAAGTCGGTTTTTGTCGGGTGAGAACATTTGACTAGAAACTCAATTCGGGATACGTACAAAGCAAGCAATGGATCACATAACTGTCACTCATTGGGGTGAAACGACGAACTCACTCGCTGTCAGATCATATTCATCCGCAGGTTTGTTACATTTGATCTCAAATTCGGTATATAAATTTGGGAGCCTGCCATAGTCCAGCATGCTCGGCACGGGCACTGGTCTGTGCGTTTGGCAATTCTCTCAATATTTCTAGTCATTGGGGTCCTGGCCACACGGACTGGCGTTCTCATTACTGGAAGGTTTTGTTAACTATTGGTCCATTTTCTTTAAAGACCAAAAGATAATTTGAAGTAATTTTGCGGGTTGTGTGCACTGCTGGCAGCTAGAAGAAGCGGCATCAACTTTGTCTCACCAGTCATAATGGAACACTGCTTCAGACACATCATGACGCAATAAAAACTTGGACCAGCTGAGAGAACTGCACTGATCTGAACTCGCACTATTTGGAGGTGCTTTGGACTTGGTAAGCAGGGCATTCTTTGGATTTTTGTGGGTAGCCTATGTGCTCCCTTCAGAAACTTCACGTCGGATTAGTTCACAGTGAGCTACCAGATAACTGTCGTCGAAACTATCGCTCCGACCGTTGGATACTGAAGCGCATGAACCTTAAGTTGAGACAACAACTGATGCACTTTATGAATTTTCCTGTTTCAGTGTTTGATAATCGATACCACACCTAATCAACCTCACACAAAATAAGATAGGTGCTGGCTTTTCAAAGCCAAAAAACTGAAGTCGATTCTCTCAGGTCGTCGGTTATCCTGAAATTACGCCTCTAGCTTCTAGTTTCACTCTACTTTTGCGCGCTTATGTTTCCAAGCTGCGCGTTTTATTGATTCCGACGAAATTTATTTATACGCTGTGGTCGTTAGTTTGCTGCTAGTTACCGTTTGGTGTTGTGAATCCGAATGTACGCTAACAAACAACGAAAAGGTTTAGCATCTGGCTGGGCCGGTACCATTTGAGCCAGGCGGAGGACTACACCGAAACGATCTAGCGTGGTAAACCTGGTAGTCATGTCAGTTGATTCGTGCCAGAATACAGCTTTATGCTTTACTGAGACCATGTTTCACAAGGACGGAACTATCCCTGAGTATGTATGCCCTACTACGTGCAGTTTTCAAAGAGCTCTGTTTGAACAGCACTTACATGAGCACTTTGTATTCACTGGCTGAATATGATGCGGTCATGTGTACAAGTCGCAGGAAATAGGAAACCCGAAAGCTAGCGCACACATCACACCGAATATACGAATCAGTTGGTTCACGATCATTATAACCTGTAGGTGCAGCTCTTATTCAGCCACTGTCACCGATCGGTTGTGGTACAGGGTTCTCCCTTTTAACGAAACCAACCATTATAACCTATTATTGTACATGTCATTTGCAAAGGGTCTAACGGACATGTTCTCGTACAGTCGATTTTTTTAGTTTGACGTCGTTAAGCGCATAGTTATCATATCATCCTTTGAAAGACTAGTATACCGTCAGATTCCTGTTTTTTTTCTGAGTTATATTTGAGGGAAGTTCTTGTCCACAGCTCATACTCATCTGAGTGGTCACAGTTCACCTTGGTCTAACCTAACTTCACCACAAGATGGAACAGTCGAGGCTCACGATCCGTTAGCGATTTACTTAATCAATGCCCTTGATAGAGCCTCTCAGACTAATGACTTCAATTCAAGGCTGCTTCGAAAACATAATTCAATCTACAGGTTCGTTTTGGGTTGTGAACGGTCACACATGTGCAATCCTATTAATCAGCGTAAGACGTTGAGGCCTTTCTTCAAGAGATTTTATGTTCAAACTCACGTGTTCCCGTCACACCTCTTAATTTTAGGACCGCTAGGGAAATTGTTGGTAGTGTGAGTATAGTTGATAATTTTTAATGGGGTTTTGCTCCCACAAGTGAAGCCAATCTGTACAGAAAAGCCGACAAGCATTCTTTTTGGGAATCGTTCGCACTGTTTCACGAAACTACAGGGGATTTCTGACCCGCGACCTCCCTGCTCGTGGCTTGAACCCTCAAGTGTTCGGTCACGAGCGGCTAATCAGCAGTGTGATTGGCTCGCACTTGATAGGATATAGCGGTACACATCCTTGAATCACGGAGTCTGCATCACGTGGCCCTTTAAGTAAATTCCTTTTTTCTACGTTTTGTGAGGGACAATCTGTTATCATTCCCATTATAGGCTTCTAGGTATGAAGGTGCAGAAATAGAACGAAGACAAAACCACGGTCTAGTTAGTCGAACAGTTGGACCGTGTATTAGCGACTTCGTGGGTGGGGCAAGGCAGAAACTAGTATAGGAAAACTGATATGCCAACGAGTAATACAATGTAGTGGCAATAAAATGTTTGCAGCCAGTTAGTGAACCTTACGCTTCTTCGTATTTGGTATATGTGCAACGGGCGTGCATTACAACCGGTCATAAACAGACAATCGGATACAATTACTGTAGAACAAGTAGAGAAGCTGTTAAGCTAGCATTCTCTGAATAGCCCTAATGCATATCTCTGTGTAAGTGACCGGATATGCATCGTTACTCCATATTCCATCCAACCAGTCCGTCTCTGAGCGGTATCCAACCCATGACGACTTGCAGTTCCTCAGGATTCTTTAGAATTAATGAATGCGTATTTCCTCATCCAGACTTTCGGTAACTCCTCAGTAGGTGCATTAGCATAGTCGTCTATACGGAAGGAGCACTTCGAGTCTCTTCATTAAAGAACGAACCTTCTCCGCATGCCTTCCTGATCAGTCTGTCCATAAGCTCAATTTCTTGGGTTACTATCAGCTGATTCGGGTTTACTATCACAGTGATGTCCCGATGTGTGTTCGTTGTCGCATGCTAAATATAATTCACAAAGGTAATTAAAGCATAAAGCGATTTCCAAGGCTGAATTACCTGATCTTTGTTGGTTGATCGGATGGCAGTTGATCTGTTCGCCGAGCTTGGCAATTGGCTTGCAAACGTTCCGTCCACAGTCGAGGAAACATCGTCAGTGCGCAGTTGAATGGGTTGAACGGGACCCATTCATAGGCGAATTCATAGATTATTAAGTCGAATGATGTTTACAGGAAGTCCGTGTTAAGCCTCTTCGTTTCAATATTGTTTATGCCTTTGAGGGAACGGCTTACAGCTAGGTTGGTGGTGTTGCCATTGTCAGTCGATTAGGCCCAAAACTAAAAGATACTCTGTATGAGTCGACGTTCAAACAGGGCTTTGCGCCAGTCTGTCGTAATAGCGAGTATCCATACTTTGGTAGTTTCTCGCTGACTTCATATGAGCGAGGCTTAATGAAAGCACAATCTCAGGGGCCGAAGAAGCCTTGAAACAGGCGCTGGTCACAAACGGCTCCCCGGGCAAGTTTCTCATCCTTCATAGTAAACCGAACGTGTCCTCTGACACGATTAACGCTGCTTCGAAGAGAAAAGTCTTGTTATACTTATCGTTTAATGGAGATTCAATTGATAAAAACGTAAGACGAACTTTCAAAGCTACCCTAAACTGCATGTTTCTAGCTGCTCAGCCGCTTGGTCTCTGCAACCAGGGGACTTATATTTCAGTCTAAATCCAATAGTGTGCCTCGTCGCTCCAACACACATCCATGAGTTTGCTTTCAGAGAAACACACCGGTGGCTAGCGGTCTGTTGCACATTTATCAGAAAAGTTACCAGGGCCTGTGTTGCTCGGAGGTAGCAGCATGATAAAGCCTCAAGTAATCGGTGACCGAAGGATCCATACAGCTCAGCTAGCTCCACTGCAGTGGTCGTATTGCCGATATCACCCGTGTTCATTAGCCTAGTTGTTCTCAGTTTGTTGAAGCCTGCTCTTTCCGGAATAAGATACAGTGTACAGCGTGTGATTCAGAGATGGGGCATGCAAAACTAGAGGATAGGTTGTCATCATATTGGTCCATGCCTTTCGCGAATCTGGAATACGCAATAATCAACGCATCACGGGCTGCATGCTCCCGCTAAAAGTTGAATTCACGTAGCTAACAATGTTTCTATATCCACTTGCGCGTCTCTAATCATCAAACTAATGTTTTATTCGATATTTTTGCCCAAACTGTTGATGATCCAATGTCTTATTGTCCAGCCAAGTGATGCGAGATTGCTCATTAGGTAAACACTGACTTTCTTGTGGCCTCAATGAGACTTTCGCTTAACTGATGAATCAGTAAGTCGGTTTCGATAGCGAGATACCATTTATGCGATATTAAGTGTGAATTGTCACGTGACCCAAATGTGGTCGATTCGAATATGACCTGACCAAAATGTCAGAAATCCTGTTAGGTAGTTAAGGCGATCACAAAACCCAGTGATTCTGAGACAAATAGCAGAATGATGAGGTGCGGATCCACGGAGCGTATAAATTACAGATGAGTGAGTTGCAAAGGCACTCAAGTGAATGTACCTCCTAACAATTAGTCGCGCGGTTACGAACTGAGTTCCTAAACACGATGAGTGAAGGCCGTCAAGTAACGAAAGATTTGTGCGTTTCAGCATGTGACAAAGGCCCAGTTTTTAGGGATCTTAGGGTACTTTCACAGTGGTACTCCAGGAATGATACTTGTTGTCTCTTGCTTCAGCGAGAGACTATTCGATGCATTTTAAAAAGGGCATAGAATGGGCTTTATAGATTTAACAGATACGGTATGCAAATGAATTTATTGTAATGCATTGGAGGTTGAAACGGGAGTTTACTTAGCTACTGACTGAGTCGTTATGAAATACGGTTCGCATTCTCGGTTCTACCTAATATGTTCAAATATTTCCACTATCTACTCAATTCAAGGCTGTTCCGTACTGCACTTATTTACGTTCATCATTTTGGTCGAATGGTAGCCACATTTGGGTTTGTTGTTTCCGTTTCTCTGATGATGATGTCACATTACGATTTCAAAGCATACGGTTGTTCCTCCCCACGAGTCAGTTGTGAATACTTGACCAAATCGAAAATTTTAACGCAAATTTTCTTCCTTCCTTTGGTTAAAAATCATTATCCGATGATACGTGCAATCAAATGTGACATTCGTTGAAACAGAAGCCCTGATTCTGGGAACGAAGCGTGACGCCACAACTGGGATAAATGCTACATACGGGCCATGAAACGTCCCAACAACTCTGCTCCTTCTCAAAAACTGAACGTTCATTTATCAAAGTTCCCCTAACTAGCATTTTATTTTAATAAATGGGGGAAAATGGAGAAGATGCTTTGTGATTTCCCCTCCCAATTTGAGCTCTGATCCCCATCAGCTGAGAATACCCTGGTGCATTTGATAAAATCGGAAGACAAAGTGGTTGGTACCCAATATAGAGGTGTGTGCGCGAACACGTTACAGTATCTTTTGTTGCGTCCGTATGTGTTTCCGTGCTAACATGCTCGTTTGTGGTAACTTTCAACCCAGTCTCCGGGTCGGAAATTTCAGAATTTTCCTCATCCGTGGCGTAAGTCTTGCCGACATCATAGCTGATCGAAATGTTTGGCTGGATTCTTGCCTACAGTAAACTCGTCTTCTGTCTTGGGGAACTTGTAGGCTCTATTGTGTGTTCTATCCTTCCTGTATTTATTTCAATGCTTTTGTCATCATGTGTCTTCCAACGCTCCATTTTTTTATAGACTATCACTTTCCTCTCCGTCTATGGATGAGTTCACGGCAGATACTCAAGGTGATTCAATTTTGGCAGGCATCAGTTTGTTTACATCCGATCAAATTGCTGATTATAAACATCCAAATCCACATATCGCCTCCCCACAATCTTTGCCAATCCCGAACGAGTTTCCAGATTTCCCCTTTCCTAATCCCTACCCTCAACAGCTTGCTCTGATGCAGTCCATATACGGTACGCTGGAACGGAACCGATGTGGTATCTTCCAAAGTCCGACTGGCACGGGGAAATCTTTGAGCCTTTTGACCGCCTCACTTCGGTGGTTGTTGGACAGAAACTCCACTGTCCAACCTAAACTAAAAGATCTCAGAGAGAAACTGAAGGCGATCAATACACTTTCAACGCAATCTAATTTGGACTGGGTCATGGCGTATGAGAAAAGCAGAAAGGAAAAACTCATGATAGAACCGGAATTGGAGGAATTGACTCGAGTAAATGACTGTCTTGAAAAGATAAGTGACTTAAAAAACTCTTCTTCAAAATTTTTATCCGACCTCTTGAATGATTCTGGTGTTAAATCTTCTGCGCATCCCGTTGCCACAGACCCGCAAGAGGAAACTTCTGACGAAGGAATACAGGCGGAAGAGTTTCTTCGCGACATAGCCAACGAAAATCGTGATCCTGTAGAAGATGAGGAGTGCTCAAAACCAACTACTGATGTTGAACAACATCAGATTTTACAGATAATCTATTGCAGTCGTACTCATTCTCAGCTAAACCAGGTTCTTGGTGAGTTGAAAAAATGTCGAAATCTTATCAACCAGATAACGGCCGTACAACTTGCCGCTCGACACTCTCTGTGCATCAATAAAAGGATCTATAGACTCTCCCACCCAGAAGCTATAAATGAGGCCTGTTTGGAGTTGGGTCGTTCAAAGCAGAAATGTCCAATGCGAAACCGCTCGTCTGTCAGTAGAGTCTCAAACTGCATTCTATCTGGTGTACCAGCTTCTCTGATTGCATCTTGTGTTCGCCAGGACCGTTACTCAGATCTTTTCGGCAAGCAAGCAGGCACCTTAAGAAACCAGGCATCAGATGTCACAGCACGTATCGGCTGTCCATACTACGCAACCCGCAATGCTTTGCCTCTAGCCCAACTAATTCTTGTTCCTTATTCAACCTTACTGCAACCGGCAACCCGTGCACAGTCTGGAATTTTTCTGAAGAATGCTGTGATCATAATCGACGAGGCGCATAATCTGCTCGAAGCGACCACTTCCAGCATGTCCGTCCTATTACATCTACGTGATATTCATTCGGTTCTGACCGTGCTTCGTTCTTACCAGCAATACTATGCCTCTCGATTTTCATCCGTTTTCTCGCTCCGACTCAAACAACTGATTTCTTTTGTTCAGTGCCTACAAAACGTTTTGACTGCACGCCGTAGCAATGTGACAGGCTCTTCGGAATCTCGTGTAGTCACTGTGTCTGGGATGTTATCTGAGGCCGGTGCCGACAATATGAGCTTACATCAACTAACGGACTGCATGCACCAGAAACGAATGGTTGCTAAACTTGCCGGTTTCGCCAAATGGCTCGTGGACAAATCCGGTAGGCCGACAACAGTCAAACGACAGATAGATTCAGATCTACCCGTGGGAATGCACGCACTGTTAACTAGAATGAAACGAAGGAATACGGACCAACAGGACGACGATTCCGTTGGCGTGAGTGTTTTTATGGTTTTGGTAACCTTTCCAATCAGTTTGTCCGATTCGATCAAACCACATTAGCAACCTGTTCTATACCGCTGACCAACTAAGGCATTACCAAGATAGACATCTATTCCAGGAGCCAGTACTGTGACACTTTTGATACCATGAGTGTCGCTGTAACATCCCTTAAGGAATGCCAATTCGCAAAAACAAAACGGTCCAGAACGAACAACACCCAAAGCTGAAGAAGCACGTTGAATTCTAGGTCAATCGACGGGAGATTTAATTGTGTACGAGAGGATAGAACTCCAGCAAAGGACAGATAAGTGAGTGATGCAATGGTTGCAAAAGTCCTTCTAGAAAGAGCTTATTCGATGTCCAACTTATGCCTAGCGATAAATTTAAAGTTTTGTTCTACTCGACACTTAATTATTTATTCAAAGCACTTGTTAGGTTCTGTGTCGATACTTGTGCTATTTTTGTATCTGTAGGCGTATACAAAGCCATGTGTGGGTCAATACTGTTAGTTTGAGGAACAAAACTCATAAGTAGATTGCTCACATCGTTAGTAATGCAAGTTTGGATTATCGGAGCATCATACTATGATTTTCAGGCCGTCATGAACGGAAGAACTACAGTTTATCCCCAGTCGTTTTCTATCGCGGATCATCTCATTTTCGCTTGACGGCCTTTCTTCAGTTCCAAAATACTGAGGCACATTTGGCGAATTGGGGTTGGCTGCTTTTGTGTTTGACCGCAGAATCACCTTTTCTCACGTGACCGTCTAGCGTCGCTAATTTACTTGTTCCCTATACCCAAGACAATGATAATAACTTTAACTGATCTCTGATCGTGAATCCGAAGTAGATCAGAAACACAAAAAGGTCATCGTAGCCAGATAGATGGGCTGCATCGATCGATGCAAAAAGTATTCGGTGATTTTTTTCCGATTTTTGTTTCTTTGTGTGACTTGATAGTGCAGGAAAATTTGCTCACAGTATCTCCGTCTGTTAACTCCTCAAGAGAAAGATTACCTCCCTACAGAATTTGCCCATATTGAGTGATCCCTTATAACTGATTTATACTTAGTTTACTATCATCGTATATTGTCTGAGCTGAACACATAACGATTCTTGTACATCAGATGACCCACATCGGAGACTGCTCGTTCCTCTCCGCCCAATTTACTCACCCTTTTTGCGGTATGACACCAGATTACGTTCTAGTTTCACATTCACTCTCGCCTTTGATATTTTTGCCAGGTATTTCTTTCTACTACCTTCGAGACAGTTCTTTCTGACTATTTGAAGCTTTCACGGTGTATATATCGTAATCTTATTCTAAGCGTTTTGTATTAAAATATCTATTTAAAACCTTACCGTTCGATGAACAAACTCATAAGCAGGGTGAAGCTATCATGTTCATCTACGTCCCGCATCAATCAAAACTTTCGCGTTGGAATACGTCGTTCGTGAGACATCTAGGTATGCAACCTCCGGGTCTAGAAGCTACTTCGGAATGCTTTAGCGGAGACGTTTCAGCACTCAATAACTGTACAAATGCTTATGCAGCCAGTCAAGTTGTTGAAATTTTGCAGTTTTGTCAGGGATTTATTGCAACCGGTAACTCATTGATTGAAACATGTGTGAATATTAACTGGTTGCGTGACACTAGGCATGTATTATGGGTCTATTGTGTCGTTTGGTTGAGTTCACCCGAAGAAACATTTTGTTGCTGGTCCCCAGTATAGGCAATATAGAAGACTGCCCCATCCCAAGCTTTCGGATGTTTCTTCCCTGAAACTAAAGAGACGCCGATTTTTGTTTATTTCACAAACTACTAATAAAGGTGTTTCTTTCTGCTCTGACTGGTTTTTGGAGACTTTTAGTAATGCAGTCTGATTTGTAGGTATTGCGAATCCTTTTAATAGCTTACATTTTATTCCTTGAATTCCTTTACATCCGTTAAGATGCGCCCCAGTGAATAACTGCTTGATTTAGGACGAAGTGACCAAAGTCCAGGTTCACACTAGCTCGCTGTAAACTGCTTGCGGTTAAGTAAAATAAGTAGAGCTGTAGATCGCCGGTGTTTGTGTTTCTTTTGCTCTGACTGGTTTTTGGAGACTTTTAGTAATGCAGTCTGATTTGTAGGTATTGCGAACCCTTTTAATAGCTTACATTTTATTCCTTGAATTCCTTTACATCCGTTAAGATGCGCCCCAGTGAATAACTGCTTGATTTAGGACGAAGTGACCAAAGTCCAGGTTCACACTAGCTCGCTGTAAACTGCTTGCGGTTAAGTGAAAAAAGTGAAGCTGTAGATCGCCGGTGTTTATGTCAACGGTTAATGTAAACCTGAAGATGTAAGTGCCAAATGAACACAGCGCAGGTGCTTGCGTCAAAGTTAATTAGGGGTATTGTTTGAATCAGCTGTCGGACGCTGTTCATCTCGTCAATTTTTATAGATCCAAACACCTACCTTCACCACCTGCCGGAGAACGATAAGGTTAAAACGCCATGATGAGAAAATAAAATCCACATTTTCGTTCGATGTTGACTTACCCTTTAAAGTCTAGAAGTATATGAACATACGCATTGCTTTGGTTGACGTAACTGACATCCCTTTGATGTTAAGACGTGGTCACTGAACGAACGGTCTTTGGCACCAATCCACCTACGACTTTCCGACCGTCCCTCTTTCAAATTGGTGAAACCGATTCCCGTGTTGCGTGTCGTTTGTGCACCGAAACAAGCAACGAGTGAACGATCGTAGTTCATTTTGTTCCGGCGCATTTTCGATTACCTTGGACTTCTTTTAAGAAGTCTGCAAAGAATTTGCAGTGTGGGAAGCTGCCTGAATTCCACTCAAGAACCGCACGCAATTGAGTTATGTGTGCTAGTGTCACTTTGTGTGTATGATGATTTCTTCTGTGGACGATAACCATCTCCCGTGATGATGAACCCCGTCCAAGCTGTCGACGGGACTTTTTTCATCGTCGATTCTGCTACATTAGGCCTGTTTTCCTAATATTACTTACTAATGAGAAGTCGCTTAGGAATGGTGGTACCTATGAAGCCCCGCAACACCTGAAGTGGATTTACCCGTCCAGTCTACATCAACAAGCTGCTTGTGTCGTTTGTGTGGGGAAAAACAGACCAGTCACTACTAACCCCACATTTCCTTCTGTTCTGAGCAAATTATGTGTTGCCCAACAACGACAGAATCAATTGGAATGGCGGAACCTTATTATCTTGTCTGGCGACTGTGAAAGTCATAGAATTGTCAGTTTCCGCAATAGACGAACTAACGGATGCTGGCAGAGGATGCCCAGACAAGACGGACGTTCTAACTGTTTTCTAGTTCAGAATGTCTCCGCACGTATGTGCCCATCCTGTTAGGCAGTGACGAACGTCGAATTAGTCATACTGCCCTGCCATAAAAAACATCTTAGTCAAATATCTGTCTCCTTTTTCCTTCCCATTTGATTGATTGAATGCCGTTGTTGGAGGAATCCTGCCGACCAACACACATTCATAGAAAGTTTAAGTTAATTGTTTTCTCAAACTATTTCCGTCCCGGTGGTGTTGGATCTGAGGAGACTCGGCGAATTCTAGAAGAGATTGACAACATTGCCGGGAAAGGTGTGAGGAATTCATGCTGTCATAGTAACAGAAGCTCGCAACTCAAAAGGTGAGTGCATGCCACACTTCATACCACACCAGACAAGCTGTTCCGCTTTCTGGCTAGGCCAAACCTGTGTGAATTCCCCCTCCCCCAAGCCTATGGATCTGGCTGCCGATTTTTCGTTCATACAGGTACAAGGATGTGTTATGTATTGAGTAAGGGCTCAAAAGGGAAAACTCTCGGTCGCACTGCGATACTAAACTGTTTTGGCCTCTATCCTTGTACTTTTTCTACAGACGGTGGACCGACTTTATGTTTCCCGTTTCCATCTCATCTGATCGTTGCTTGATGATATGAACATCAGTGTACGGATATGCCAACTGTTGAGTTCAGTTTGGTAAAATTTTCGGTTACCATTCAATGGTGATGTCAAGTGGGACATCAACGTCAGCGGAGCCGCAAAACACATCTATAAAGTAGAAATATTTAAAGATACACTATTTTGATAGTGTGGGACTAGGATCTAGGATAGCAGTCATTGTTTACATAGACTGTGTTTTACTTGTTGAACTTTGCACAGTGCTTTTTACACCATCAAGCCTCATTTATCAGCAAACCCGATCAAATAGTGATGCCACCAACAGTTGCCAACTTCGACCGGCATCGTACCGATTGATAGTTCTGTGCTAATCCATGAAGCTCTGATAATGTGAACACACAAATCTACCTTCACCTGGTCTTCTATAGACTAGACGCGGAGTGAACATCCTGATCATCCTGGTCAATGCGGCAGGTGCTGGCAGCAAACGCTAGCAACGTGCGTCAGGCGCGTGCTATGCCTACTGGCGCTGATTCATACAGAAAGCTTTTCTGCCCACATCACGCTTTGCTGCCCACACTGTCCCTTGGGAATTGGTTTGAATGGCTGCCATCTGTGCTTCTGCGGACATGAAGACTTTGGTCTGTGTTTAGGGTAAACGAAGGAAATGTTTGTTTCGCGTGGATTGGTCGATTGGTTAGTGCTGTTCACCGTAGAAAATTATTTACCTAAAACGGTCAACTAGACTGTGGTGTTTTCGGACAATCGGTTAAGTACTTGTTCTAGCGCCACACAACGTTATTTATGTGGTTCTGTGAAATTTAGAATAACATCGGTCTTCATTCTACATTATCAGACCTATGTAATAGACAACAGTATCGTGACTGTCACGTAGGAAAACGCCACAGCCCGTTTATTCTATATTAAGTAGGTTCCACATTTCCCCCCGATTCAAGCCAAGGAGAGTCGCTCTCAATTTTGCATCGCAAGTTTGCTAACCGGCGTCCTTGCTGAGACATGTGAAACAGAAGGAACGTGACTGATCGTTCCACATCCAACTGATGGGCGGTTGTTTGAACGAAAGGCATTGTTGATTGCTTTGCTGAACCAATTACATCTCTCTTTTGCAACCAACCACTTTATAAACTAACCGTTGGTGATATTCATGTGAGATTCACTATCCATAAGTGTGGTTAGATAGACGACCAAGAAGTTGAGTGCCGGTAGTTTTTCACTTTTTTTGGTCAAGAATGAATATGGACTGGCTTGTAGGCTTAAATTTTCCATTGTAGGTTCAGCATCCTAGGAGTGGTGACGAAGCTCATTAACGGCTCAATTTTTCCGCTTGCTCAGAACTGACATTTCTAGACATTTCTATGGACCGAAAGCCATGATCTCAAAGCGATTTTGATGTGATATTTTTGTTGTGCAGCATTTCCTTTCGGCTCTACTTAAAGGTAGGTTGCTATTATATTGTCAGATAAAGTAACATACTGAGCACAGTCATAGGTAAAGCACTGGGTTTCCTTGATCGGGTTGGAGAATGCACATGATAGCATTTCGCGTGTTAGCTAAAGCCTGAAACGTGTAAAACGGATTGAAGGCACAGAGAAGCCAGGTAAAACGTATCAAAGTTATCTTTTTTCCAGTAATTCCGTCAATAAAATGAAGATAACTTCAACATTATTCTAAGCTGTTTCTTTGTAAACAATAGCGGCTTGTACCGATTGGTCAGTACCGTTTCAAGCAAGTTTAACCATTTTGATCGAGTACGTTTCATAACGACTCTGAGCGATGACTACAAGTCAACCCATCGCTTTGTCTCGCTATTGGGCCATGGATAACTCTTCCTTTCAACAAAATAACCAAATGGTAGGTCAGTATTCTTAGACCCGTAAGAACTGAATTTAGGAAACATTGTTTAAAGAATACCTACCAATGTTTGCAGTATTTTGAAACTGACAATGTCTCCCTTTGACGTTCAGCCACTACTTATGAATGCCTCTTCTTGGAACTATCGATTGTTTTGTAAGTTTTCATTTACTCACCAACATTTTACTTCCCTGTATACTCTGATTCCTAGAACTGTTATCTTGAAAGAGGTGTTAACTTTCACTTTCAAGGCAGAGGCTTCAAACTAATTGATGAGTTCGCCATGAAAATGCTATCAGAACAGATATTAGCTGACATGTTTTGACCTAGCTGGATATTTTTAGTAGAGAATTAGCCTAATAAATTGCCAATATAAAGACAATTTCTAAGCGATGTTATGCTACTTGTCAGTGACCAACAACAAAGTGTAGCTCTTCACGCTATGTTTTACCATTAGAGCGTTCGCTTTGCTTACGAGTGTGAATGGAATGGTCATCTACTGCTCTTAGATGTTTTATTGGCAAATAAATCAGATATCTCGTCCTGGGGAGTTCACATGAACGGGACAGTGACTGCGCCTTGCAAGCCTTCTTTCTGCACCTTCCAAGCTTTCTTCCCATTCAGTTCAAACCATTCACTTTGAATGACGCCTTGCACTACGGGGTCAGAAAAATATGTATGTCGAATACTCTGGATACTGAGCCTCAGCTTTGGGAAAATGATCACCCTTGTGAACTCATGGACTTAAAAGAACCAGTTATGACTATCTCAAAAAACACAGTGTGGTTCATCCGCTTGGACACCCTTGAGTACACAAAATGATATGATAAGAAGGACGGTACAGCGAACTTATTTTCGAGCAGATAACGACTACTCTGAGCTCACGATAATGCCTTTTCCGGAGACGTTTGAGTCGGTGCTGGTCCTTCTTAGATCCTGACAAGATGAGTCAATCTGTGGGTTTGTCCCTTGCTTTCCGTTCTCTGTATGAAGAAAATTCAAAACCTAGGTTCCAGTGAATTTCGTTCGAAATTAGAAATCGGTTGTCTGCATTCAGCACGGGCTGCGATAAACAGCAACTGCTATATTACTTCACTGAGAAGCCACGCTCCACAAATGCTACAGAACAGCTCAATGTCGTCTACCAAAAGAAAGCGTGACCTCCATCCTTCTCTGGCAACCACAGGGGCCATTGAACATCTACTCCACGTTATCACAATTTTCCAGTCGGCTGGACGAAATTCCTTGGCAATGTTCAGGTGAACAAAACAGCAAACGCAAGACTTTTTGAAACCAGCTGGTTTTAGTTGAGGTTGTCCTTTTTCGTGGAATTTATAGGTAAATGTTGCTATACTTACCTCGATGTCTGAGAACGGATTAATGAAGCTCTCGAGCTGGCGCAGTATTGTTGTGACTTGGCCTTAAAGGACGTGCAATATAACGAATATTTTTTGTGGAGACTGCTTTTATCATCCACAAGGATCACTGTAATATTTGAAAATTGGAGTTCTTTCTGCAATCGACATACGAAAAGGTACCTTGGGCCAGCTAGTCATCCAAATATCTTCCCACTGTTTATCGTCCCACCCACCCCCTAATTGTATGAACACACATCTTTCCTGATACAGTAATCTTCCAAACAGGTAGCCACCATAAGTGATCTTTTCTGAGTTGAATTCTCACACCAGATCATGGCTGATGGGTAAGCCTGCGGCGTGCTTTCCAGAAAACTGGCTTCTCCGTTTGGTGAATGTCTGTACACAGGCTTCGTTAGTTTCTTTTAGCCAGTTCCTTCAATGCTACCACCATTTTTTGTGTCCGAATTGAAAAACGATCAAGTCTTCATCCTTATGTGCTACTTGGTGTTCAGTGGGTTTCAAGTTTGCTCATTCTCAGCCTTCGAGGAACTTCGTGCTGAAACCTGAGCAAGTTATTTCCTGTAGACTTCTTAACCGAACACATATATCTGAGTTCTAACGAGAGATGCACTTTTTTCCAGATAAGCCTATTAATTCACATTTCCGACCTGTTGAAATGATCGATTCGCAGTTATGGGTTCGTTAATTCATTGTGAACCCCGGCCAATTTACCGCAAGGTATGGAATCATTATTAGGCCACGGTTTTTTTTGCAATCCCACTATTTGTTGGTTCTACTGAACACGAAGTAAGCCAGCGGATGTTGTCCTAGGGTTTTGCGGGTCATTCTTAGCGTGGAAGTGTGCGGTGAAAATACGTATGCTTAAAAATATACAGCAGGATGTTCTTTCACACGCGGGCCCACACTTATTTCACATTATCTACACGGAAGCGTTTCAGTATGCTTTGGAATGTCTTCTAACGTGGGACGAAAGCACTGAAGCGCAAGTATACACCGAGTTGAGAATTCCACTACACGTTTAACGCCTCTGATGTTTGCCGTCACCTCACAAAGTACATTTTTACCAAGAAGTATAAAACTTCAAAGCAATGACTTTTACCTTATTTCGGACCCGCTCAGCGTTCTGTCGACTGAATCAAAGTATTCCAAGTTATGCGGAAACAACTCATAAGTGGGATGTAGGAAAATTGCGTCATCATCATTACTTCAATAGTGTTGCACGATTCCATTCCAGATTAAGAAGGGACCTTAATGAGAGCACGACAATCCTCTTTATTTCAATTAGAAACCAGTTAAGTGGAGACGTGTAGTAGTTACACGGCTGTCTCCAGAAATCACAACCAGATACGACACAATGCATGTCATCTACCACTTCCTACTGATATTTCTTTGATTCAGTTCACTTGGGAAAGAAACTCTGCTCATGGAGGTAGGTTGACATTAATATGAGCAATACACAGATGACTATCCCTGCTAGTTTATGCCAACGCGTACATATCAGTAATCGAAGCAATGCTTTTTTTCATTCAGGATCCGATGCACGAAGCAAATGGATGAGTTTGAGTAGAAGAATACAATACGACGGCAGTGTTTGATCGTGGTTTAGACCGCTATGCCACGTGTATACGGATTTCAGCTAACGATGATGGTGGTGCTCAACCCCCTCCTCTACATTTTACTATCACATTGGTCACACCGCTTCCCTAACTTTTAGGCCGTTAAAAAAATTAATGCAGAATTCTATTAAAAGCACCTTTCCAAAAAAACAGACTCTTCACGGCAAAAGTCGAATGAACGCTGACTTTTGTCAACCGAACTCCCACAAACGGCAAAATGTTTGGCACGGTAACTTGTAATTGGTTCACTCATCGTTGTCCTAGACAAGTACTCCGTGTTTGCACCAAACTTAACAGGAAAGGCCTGGACGCCGTACACTATAGGTCCACCGCACAGCACAACCCACTTTAAAAGAAACCCACTTTAAGGAACTGAGAGATGACGAAGAAGTTGTGTTCAAATTAGCGGTCACATTGAAATGCTTACGGTGACTCAGATCGTTGAGGTATCAATTTTATACAGCTCCATACAACCGAAACTGATACCGTTGAGACTGATGTCTACTTGACACGCGTCCATGGACTAAGGACAATTCAGGCCGCCATGCTTGAAATACCGCGATCCTAGACATTGAGCGAGCCCGTCCATGTCGAATGAACAAACTGGCACAATATGATATTCTCCATGAAATCGATAGAATAAGCAACCCAACCGTCCTTGTACCCTCACTTCAGTTCAGTTCAAACGTGAACCTCTCACAGCTTGTGATAGTTTTCAGATGCTGTTGGTTCATCTGCTCCTCCTGCCTGCCACTTGACTGTTCGTTATGGAATCAACGATCTCATCCCTCGTAGGATGGATACATTAAGATCAACAGGATTGTTACCACTTTTTTGGCGTTTCGGCTGTCCTCTTGGCTCTGTACATGTGTGTACGTTTAGTACGTGTCTGTGCATGTGTTGCAATGAGACGAGGCCAGCGGCGGTGTAGGTAGAACTGCTGGCACACGCAGTATGTAGTTAGAGGTGAAAAAATATTTTTAAAAATAGTGAGGACGAGTTCCATAAAACTCAACATCAGATTAATCGAACAATCAGTTTGGCCGCGAAACTATTCAAAGGGTATACCAAGGTGTCCTCAATCCGGCCTCTAGTGCCATCAAGCCCATCCAAGAGTACAGATCTTAAACAGCCATCCCTCTCCATATTTGGAGAATACTTCAGCTGCCTTTGATGTATATTTGGGTAGGACCTGAGAGCCTGAGAATATATATAAAGTCGAACCCATCCAAGGATCTTGCTCATCCCTTGGTTTTGCCTTATTCCCACCCCTTCATTTTCTTCCATTATTGTCTTTGTCCCCATACGGAAATGTAGGAGCACTATTTTCGTTTGACATTTCCTGCAACAGCCCAATGAATTCTTTCCGCTTACTTCGAATTCGATTTGCCTTTCAATAATTGCATCTCAGATTCTCATATACGGCCCTCCTAATTATGCTGGCTTCCGAAGACTGGATTTTAGCACGTGAGAATTCTATCCATTTATTTCCCATATGAAAGTGGAGATAGTTTTTGGACTTATCCATCCCTTTTCCAGAGTATGTCATGGCAACATGACAGGTCGCGTGACGCGCTCACAACTGAGTCTGCACTACTTGCAATAGGCACAGAGACTGGAGCAATGGAACAACATAGTAATTCGTTTAGCACGAGCCTCTTGGCGGGGTCTTGTGACTTGTCACGTGGCATTTACGATACCACAAGGCCGCCAACAAAAAACAGTGTTTACTTTCTACACAGATTTTGGAAAAGCTAGCAAATGTATTAATCAGGTGGGCAATTTCAAGAAGACTGTTACTCTCTCCTGTGAGTCTTATATTTAACCACACAGTTGTATGAAAGAGGTCATTAGTGTAGATAGTAGCAAGCTGGAGGGACTACGGACTAACCTTCAGTGGTCTCTGTCGCTATCATACACCATAATCCTCCTGGATATTGCAGATCTAAATGACTGTTTGGCGAAAGTGTGTCATGTCCATATTTTTCTCGCACCTCTCTTTTTCTCACTGCAACTCTACTGATCTTCATGTATACGTGCACACTATTTGTTCAAATTCACGATCGAACTGTAGTTATGATTCTAATTACTAAACGGGTGTTTCATTGAATGTACCGGTGACTGGTTATGTCACACGCGTGCTCGACACCGACACCGAAAGGTCGAAGCTACTTGTGTTCCTACTTTGAAATAGTTTTTCCTTTACTCTAAACACTCATTTGTTGGGAACAAGCAAGGTAATTGTACACCAGTTTCTCAAAACTGGGCAGAGTACGACCACCTTGGCTGGAGTAGATTTCTCTAACAATTAACCTTCTTCAACTGGATATCACTTTTCATTTACTACATTAAAAGGTAAATACACAGCATCATAACAGTTTGGAGAAATTCTGACCCAGGTGGAGTGGCCGAGTTTGATTCAAGTCGCTAAATCAACTGTAATTGCCCCTTTCAGCATGTCACGAGCTATCAAGTCTGTTCATCTCAGCCCTATCATCTGATTTCTTTTTGTACAGGCACCTTTTACTCACGGTGGCTCCGGGGAGACCTCGAACGGTTCAACTCCATCAAAACCTACTGACCTCGAAGGATGCAGTTCGAGTTTATACAAGTTTCAGGCGTTTCTGGATGCCGTGATACTCAGTGAAGATGATGCACGTGTGCTGATAACTCCCGTTGGCCCAAATCCATTGGACGCTTCGACTGCTTCAACTGACACCAAGGGACCTTCACTGTACTTCACAGTTTTAAATCCGGGACGCTATCTTCGGGGTTTGTTGAACCATCAGATGATTGGTTAATTTATTGTCACATGATGGTTTCTGTAGACTAGTGTATAAGTGATGTATTCTGCCTTGTCAACTCACTGTTTCGGACTCCACTGCACGCAACAGCCAGTTGGATTCTCTATGAGCGGACGAAATCGTCGTTTCAGCGTTTCATTGCTTTGGGTTGTCCGCCTAACGCCGTCTGGGAAGCAGACTGTCCAGCTATTGAATTTCGCTTCCCGTGTATTTTAACAACAAATCTCTAAACTGGGCAGTTTACTTGGGAAAACACTTAGGAATTACCGAAGGAGTCTTATCAAACCAAATATCTTAAAGAACGAGACACGTCAAACAGGCCCTTGATACTTATACAATCGTATTCATGATGAATGTTGGTAGGTCAGAAATAATGAGGTGTTAGTTTTCACCCCATGTCGATGGGACTTCCTCACCCTTAACTGTAGGGATCCACAGTTATGTGAGACAGTCTTATGAAAGCCTTACTCTGTGTCGTACTTGCTATCGTACTAGAGAGTTAGTCATTGTTTCGCCAGGATAACACTATTGTAGCGCACGTCCGTTACATTTGACTTCTTATTGTATGCGAATGCATCTTATAACCCGTTCTGGCGTTTATCGCGTCTTACTACAAGCATTCAGGTTTTTGCGTCAAAAAGCAGTTGAAGTTAATTTTCACACTCGCAACACCCACCTTTGTGTAGTCGGTGATCAAAGGATCCAGGCGGGCGGGGTTTCACTAACTGTTTTTCTACGTTTCTTTGTGGTTGACGTACAAACCGCGTAGGTTGCGCTGCTGACCGACAAGTTGATTGCTGAAAAGCCAACAGACACACGCGTTAGTCATTACCCGCCGTGTTTGTCGATCTCCATGATGAGATTTATCTGGAAATTTGGATCATGCAGTTTCGGTTTATTTCAGGCTGTTACTGCAGGACAGGCTGCTGGTGAGGAGCTGGCATGAGACCTGAATAATCATGCCAGGGAATACTAGGACGCCCTCGCTTCTGGGTTAATCAGCTCGCATTTCATCCTGGTATCCTCTAAATCGATATTGACTGGAACCGCTGTGTTGAATTATTTCGCAGATTTAGGGAGATATGCTTCTGTATAAGACGCTTCTGCTCCGTGCTGTTTTGTCATAAATGTTCTCTGCTGTTGTGCAAATTGCCACTATCATTGCACTTCCTGTCTTAGTTCCCCCGAGTGAAAAGGGAGAACGGCTTGTTTGTTTGACTCACATTGGAGATGGATCAGTGGCTAGGGTACGAAGTTGCCGACCGAAAGGCCCGTGGTTCTGACTTGATCCTTGCCTTTCGATCACTCCTATCTAAGCTTAAGCAACCTGACAGTATCTCAAATCATACAGCAGCTTTGAACCAGAAAATTTCTGCAGCTGGCGGATTTATCATTGTCTTATCACCTCTCTGTCCACGCATGGAACGGTGTCCACAAATGTACGTAACTTGCTTAGTTAATCCAAACTGGTCAGGAAAGCTGGCCACCTCTTGTCTAACTTTTTTATCATTTGGTGGTTGTCTCAGTATTTTCCGAGAGCATGGTAAAATCTTCAATCATTGAAATCATACGTGAAATTTGAGTTATTGGAAATTATGTGATCTGTTACCCAAGGTGAGTTTCTCCTCGATTTCGGCCGCAGATCACAGGCGATGTCGACATCAGGACTCAAGAGACTGTAGGCAAACTTGCTACCCCTTGGGTTGGCCTTATCATATCGGTGGTTGATTGGTGTCACCATCAGACGATCATTGGCAGAAGCCGTTAAGAACGATTTTGCTTATCCAAAATTTGCTTATTCTGCCTCTTACTCACATAGTATTATCATCGATAAGGCTGGTCAGTTAAGCATTGATCATCCTTCGCTTACACTAGGCGCGAAATTAGAGGTTTTCCACAATATACCCCTGGTTCAATCGATTCGTAGACGTGCCATGCGAACCACGTGATTACTCTAGGCAGCATACAGTACATTCACACTCTGAATCATACTTCCGTGTTGTTTATCAGTTACAGCTGTATGCTACTGTTGTGGTTCCATCATTTTTTCACATTTACCGTTGACTTACAGAATGTGTCGTTCAGGTGCATCTGACGCCTCTTCTTTGTTTATAAAAGACCCTGGTTTGTGCGTCATTTCTCAGAGGACAGAACAATAGTATGCAGCTTACGCAACCGCATGAGCCCGTCGTTTCACACCAAATATTGTTCCAGAGCTGCATATGATCCTTCCTCCCATCTTGATGCGTTTGAGAAAAGCTATACGAACTAGTGAACCTTATCAAGGTTTTTGTTTGATTGGATTCTCTTGCTTTCGCTTGCATTACCAACCCAGATCTCGTGCAACAATCGCGGTGTGTTTTGTTGGCTGGTGGTACCATGGAACCGTTCGAAGAACTGATCGAGCAGGTGTTTGTGCCAGCTGGTAAACCACCCGAAAACACTGTCGTTTTTTCGTGTGATCATGTTATTGATCCGAAGCGACAGTTGGCAGTATACCCGGTGGCTGAATCGCCGAACGGACAAATGCTGGAATTTACTTACCAGGTGGGTGCCTTAACGTGTGAGGTGCCGAATTCAATCGACTATACTGATAGCACAAGTGTGTTTATTATGCGCCACTGCTCATTTGCATGCGGCAACGCTCGACGGCCGTTCAGGTGTATGCATGCTTTCACACCAATCGGGCACACAGACAACGGCTGTCAGCATCGGCGAGGAATGACGTCAATGCTGAAAATTCACAACTGTTGGTACCTAAAGCTATTGCGCACTTGATTTACTTCTGTTCGACTCAAATTACTCTCAATAACCCTAGGCGTTTTCAAGAATCCCTCATATAGTAGTTAGTCATCGCGTTATCCTGAAGTCGTAATCAACTTGTGGCATAAAGTATGTGGCATTAATTCCCAACCTTTTGAGTACTGCCATAATTTCATGCTTCGGACAGTGCTTTTTGACCGCAAAAGTAACTTTCCTGAACAGGGAAGATCTATCGGTGAAGACGCTACTAGAACAAGACATTTATTAAATGTCGGTCTGACCACGGGTAACGCTTGTGTTTTGCATTCACGCGGATAACCCTTGGGGTGCTGTTAATTTAGGACTAGCCTAGCGGCAAGCCACTCTGGATGTGGCATATCTTCCTGTTTTAGGAAAGTCGCATTTGTCGGGTCTCCAACGCCATCATATTGGTCATTCGCATCAGTTCTTCAGTAAAAAAAAGGTAATAGGGTAGAAGCCTTTACTATTGCTACCAGTATTCATGCCTTATTTAGTCTTCCCACCTGTTTTTCTTCGCGTACTTGCAGCGAGACGGCTCCAGTGGTTAGAGCGCGAATTTACTGACCGGAAGGTCCGTGCTTCGAACCCTACCTCTGCCTCTCAACGTCCTCTGTCTAGGCTCGGGCAACCTGACGGTATCTCAGCCCTCGTGCTTCCGTTGGGTGGCATGGCAGCTAGGCACTGAAAGGACTTGCAGCTACAGAGTGCTTCAGAAGGCATCTTTCATTCATTCACTCATTTACTGCAAGTAAATCCCCACTTCCTGTTGGGGCTTATTGACAGGCCATTGGACACGCTTCGCACACACTCAAGTTTACTGCCTGCGGCAGTTCGCTATGGAAATTTTAGTCTCTTCGATAGAAAGATGTTTCATGTGAACAATTCACCTCCTATAATGTTCCTTCCTGGAACTCAAGTTGGCCAAATGTACTATTGAGGGTTTCCGGCCAATTTGAAACAGAATATGGATAGATAGTCCAACAAAGCTACCTTGTTCCATCAATCCAGTCTTTCGTATCTGTCCCTACCTCCTCTCATAAGACTTCGGTGTTTCAGTCTGCATCGGATACCACTGATTACTATTGAATCAGTAATTTTTCGTCAGTTTGGTGGATGGGGCGCCCCACTGCTAGCCTTTGGGTGACCTACCCTCTCATCAAATGGTTTCATCATCATCAAATGGTTTACTATACTCTTGATTTCACACTAGCTGTAAGTTCGGTGACTGTTATATCTGACTGCGTCCACGCTCCAGTGCTAGTTCCGGGAAAAAAGACCCCCCGACAAGGAACACAACAGCTTTATTGCAAACATACGAGTTGGTGCAGAAAAGGACAACGGTCTCGCGCTGTATATACAGGGGGCACTGTCTGATTCAAGGCAGTCTCGCACCATATTTTGAAGGGTACTGTTTGATCTTGATCCAAATCTGTCTGACTGACGTTTAGTGGAGTTGAGGGTCTCAGTAGAATTCGGGTATTCCGGGATAATCTTTAGGAATCTGACCTTCATGACAGTGACAATTCGTGAACAGCCCATCAAGTAGGCTCCGTCTCCAACTTTCTATCAGTCTTATTTCCTGCCTCAACGTTAGACAAGATCTATCCGCCGGCAAATAGTGGTAGTGGTAACACGCATGTCAGACACGCGGAGGTTGAACCCCGGCGGGACCAGTGGATATGCTTTGCTGATGAGCTCTGATAAGAGCGAAACTCGAATCCAGTGCCTCCTCCCTTTGCTGTGCCAGAACAGGGGAGACAGTTGTTCAAACGAAAGCCATGTGAGTGTGTATTCTACAAAATCCCACATGCACCGACACCTGAAATATTTAATTGCAAACGAAGTGCATGCTAACGAGAGAATGAACTGAGTCTCTTCTTTGACATAATATTTGAATACTATCATAAGCGGCAGATTCATCTGAGATTTAATTGAGTTTCCCCTTAACAGCAACATAGTTGGTAAATGACCGTTTATCTTCAGTTTTTTTTTCAGAATTGGTTTCCTGTAATCCTTGCATAAGATGGTCTTTGTGCGTGCCCTCATCACATGTTTCAACATAGCCCTTCCAATTAGTCAGCAACTCGGGAAATTATCAAGTAACTGTCGCAATTCACGTGATAATAAAATAACTATTGCTGCAAGACTTCTCTGGTGTCTACAAAGGAAATCAGGTGGAACTTCGTTTTGTTTAGACATTTTGACCCGCCGGGCGTTGAAATTTATATCCATTTCCCAAAGAAAACTCATGAATGGCCGCTAGTTGAGACGAAATGTGGTCGCAATTTTTCCGTAATGCCTAGGTTAAAAATCACTGTCTCGCGATCGGTTTCCGTAATGCACATAGAAAGTGAGCTATTCTGTGAGACAGTCGTCGTAGTTCAGAGGATACTTCTAAATAATTAAGCGCACCACCGGAGGGTCAGTGACCGCATTTTTCAGTCTCCTTCCACACCGTAGATTCTAATCCTGATAGCTCGTTGAGTCAGTGCATCCAAAGTTCGCTTCAGGTGATGTCCTAAGGTAGCCACAGCTCGTGAACTTGGTTTCCTCTTGGAACCGGTTGAGCTTGTGTTCTTCTCATCGCACGCGTGTCGCTTAGTTCACAGGCTTGCGACATGCGACATACACCGTACACGTTCGTTGCTCTAGCAACTCGGATTGAGTCGGAACCCGTTTTGCCAAAAGTCACTTGACACGCACATGATGAGTCACCGGCATTTGACACTGCTTATGTGTTGTGTGCATACGTAGTTAGGCCGATGACGGCCCCAGAGCGCGCATCGCCATGCTGCTTATTGACCGACCGTCTCCGGCCGCCGGCACACCGCACCGGCCTCTGTTTGCCTGCTTAGCATTTCAAAGGAGGTTGTTGTTGCACATATGATGCACGAGCTTCACTCAGCTTGTCCAAGAGATGAAAGTACAACGTACCGTTCAATCAGGTGAAAAATACTTGGAACCGATTGAGTAGTCACCGTTTTCGAAAAAGTTTCGTAACAATCGGTAGATTTATTACTGCATCACAGCGTGAATGGAATCGAGAGTGTGGAACTGGCGAGCGTATGGAAAGCGGTCTTAGATAAGCCGAGTAGACACGTGACTGTGGTTGTCAATCCAGGTAGAATCATTAGCAGAACCTGGGGGGTGGGGATGGAAATCCCAACCCGACCAAAGGTCACAGCATCCCTCTTACACAACTATCTTAGCACTAGCTCACCCACACAAACGGACAGAAAGTTCAAACGACGTTCAAAAGGGATCATCAAATGGACCGAACCAGAAGAACTAGGCCCTAGACTGAACCCAAACACACGTAGGTTTCCCCATCGGCCCAACACTTGTTCACTCTCCCTCGGCCGACACCCAACAGGGATTTGGCTTGACTTAGCTGATTGGTTCTCTTTCCGCCTTAAATCTCGACCAACCTCGGAACCTAGTCACTTGGCCTGACGAAGCTCTTGTGTCAAAAGCGAAATTTTGCCTAGCAATGAATCTACCGATTCTCACCAAACTTTTTCGAAAACAATACAACGTATCGTGTTTTTGGTGTTATCGCACTTTCACCAAGACGATCGAACGTTTCCAATTTTATTGTCGTTTATCAAAGCGTCGTTCCCGAAGAGCCTTTTTCCGCATAAAATGCTGATGGGATGGCGTTCGTATAGCCTTCCCGATGGAGCGCTGGCTACGTCTATTCACGTGGGAAAGTCGTAATGAAAGAAATCCTAGGAGCTTCAACGTTTGAGATCTTGGATATCGAGTCAACGTACTCACTACTTCGTTTCGGCAGTGGGTTATTCATGGTGTTTGCATATGCGAGCTAGGTTCGTACCTTCGCCTGGAAGATCAATGAATTTGGAAAACCAATGAATATCAGTGAATGCCGTCGACTACCTTTACTGTGCGCTGGGTCAGTTCCTGTCTGGCTGTAATGTGAATGATGGTGCGTTTGGAAAGGGTACGGTAATTCTGGTTAAGATGGTTGACTGGGGCGTATGGCTGAATTGTTTGAATGACCATAGTTCAAAACTAAATCCCTTGCAAGACAAGGTCCCAGCGGGCTCCCAATTAAGTGAATAAACTACGTCTTCATGTGAACTTGCAAGCCACAGTGAAAGTGGCACTTTCCTCCCTTCACAGGCATCGCGCACCAGATTTTGTCAGACGCCGAGCACTACCGCTGACTGCTCAAGGTAGTGATTTTTGTGCATGAGGTCCCTCTTGGAGAAATTACTGAGTTTGGTTGCTCTGTATTCGAAAGTCGACAGTCATGTGTGAGTATGCTCTTGACTTTAGGTGCTGATTCGTGCTCTTTCAGCGTGCACCGGTGGAAACCAATATCTTCCCTCATACTGCTCCATATGACTCATTCCGGTCTCTCAGCGTCAGTGAATACCGTAGTTTCACTATTCCTGATTATTCTTTATTTTTATTAGGCTACGCCGTAAGATAATCTAGCATGATCTTACTGGTTTTAACCACCCCCCCCCCAATATAAGCTAGTTTTGGTCTGGTGGATCATGTTATTCCCAGATAGAACCTTGTTCGGAAGAAGAAACATGCTTTTAAGTAAAATAACATCGCAGGTTCTCTCCCTTCCCCTTTACGCCACACACGATTAGTGGGGTCCGTGGGAACAAGCTGTTGTCTAGGTGTGTAGGTACATGTCTAGGGAATCAGTATCCATAGTTCGGACCATGGTTCCACTTTCCTAGCATTGTTGCACGCGTCATCCAAAAGTCCACTTGCACTACTAGACACAATTTCCTGAGTAGTCACATGAGGAAGAGTAGGTCTGTATGGTCGTATTATGTTCTCCTTCCTGATCCATGTGCATCTGCAGTGACAATAATCTCCCTATCTTGATACACCAGTCGTCGTGATTGGGAGGAGATTGATTGCCCGTATTTGTGCTTCATAACAGAACCACCGTTCACTCGTTCTTCAAAACTGCATTATCCCACTAGCATTGTCTTCCCTGTTTACAGAATAAAACATGTATTTGATCATGGTTTTTGTCACAGGGTTTATGTGTAAATAATACGTGTTAGACTGAGCTAGAAGGGGACTTGTACGCTGAGCTTATGTACATTCACTTAGTTGTGCCTCATTAAGGCTAGTCGACTAATAACATCCCTCTACGTTGTCAACCGCCCCCTCACAACGATCGAAAGTCCACTTTTCCGGAAGCTATATTGCTCAAATAACCTAGGTTACCTCGGAGCATGTTTGGACTTATCTCAACGGACTTCCTATCTTTCCTCTGGGCCTTTTGTTACTTCGGTTTTATTACAACGCTTAGCCAACCATAGCTTCCTTGGGTTCAGTTTCCATTCATCGAAGTTCGCATTATTTTTCTCTTTTCATACAGGCCTCACGATTGTCACTTGTCACTCTAGAACGAGATGAGCCCTGTACTTTTGCATTCACTTCTGGATTAACCTAGATGATGCACAAAGGCGGCGTGACAGTAGGTTTTCATCTAAATTAACTGTCACCGCACAGTGGGTCAGTCAGCTCAAGAATAACTTACTAACAATGATTTATTTTAGGGTTGGAGTTAGTCTGTTGTATGATAACCGTTGTTTTTGTAAAGGTCTTCTGTTATACTATCTTTGTGTGCACCGCTGAGGTCAAGCCAACTAAAATACGATAGTGCACAATCTTAGCTCTTCCTAAAAAACAACCGGTAACAAGATGGGACTGTGTGACACAAAGCTGTGATATCGTGACCAACCCAAAATAGTTTGAAGCAGCACTTTGCAGCAACAGGTGAATTTTACTGTAATTCAAGTTGTAACTGTGGTTTCTACGCGGTTATGATTGATTCACGACTCGCTATCCTGCTTTCTTTTTCGTCTTCAGAAACGCTCCACTCCTCAGGTGATGGATGAATGCGGCGAGGTTATTTTGCAAATTTGCTCCCGTACACCAAGTGCGTTTTCCTCGGAATTTGGATGAATAATTGTCCTAACTTTCTTGATTCTCCACTGTACCAGAGTTTGGTTTAGGTCGTTTCTCTATGTATAACGTCAGTTTGGGGTAAAGTGAGCGAGACTTGACGGACAGTTAAATTCCACACTCTTTGCTTCCACCGGGGAGACTTATCTTGGAACTAACACGTTCCTAATGATCTACACTTTGGGCAACCTAACTCCTCTCTACTGCCTTGGTTCAAGTTCATGGCAATGAGCAGCCGCGACCTGTAGGATTACAGTCGCGTCGCCTTGTTTCCTAGCACGACAGCGCCTTTTTCCCGTTAGGACATCCGGGAACTGTTTCAAAGATGCTTCGACAGAGAAACAGGGAACTGAGCATGTCTTTAGGTGAGGCGAAGATTTCTAGAAGGATGTCTCACCTGAACCCGGAAACCCAATCGCGCTGGGCATCTCCTGAAATATCCCATTTTCAATCTGACATCTTCATAGTCCCACTGAGACTTTTTTCAATTCATATCGGGGCACTCCGTAGCCCAATTCAAGGTATTCCTTGAGTAATATTCGGGTGTCAAGGCAGAGCGAGCGAGAGTCAAGCAATGAGCAAGACAGACTCTGCTTGGAAAAGCCAGCTTCCTATTCTCTGTTTGTTTCGTTTTTTTTCGAGTTATTCCGAAGTTATATACCGGTCAGCAAATTTATGTGTTTTCCATTGACCTCATTGGGCTTTTATATGTCTCTTACCATTTATAAGAGGACATGATCTGATCACTTTGACTTAAATTTGTGAAATTTACTACTCGTCGGATTTATTGGGGACTTCTTGACTTGCTTAAGGTTGATCAGTTTCTGTTTCATTCAACTGGACTTTGTACAGATTGTTTCCGGAGGTCCCGACAGATTCGACACGTGTTTGTTTTGAAGAGTTCACTCGCACGGCATCCGCGCCACACGCAAGCCTTGTAATCCATTGAAAGCTAAGGCCACTTTTGGATAGTGGTCCGTCAGTTCACATGTTCACTTTCCATATAGTAAAATCTCCGAGTGAAGAAGCTTCATCTTTGGCTTTTTTAGTTGTCTTCCTTTAACCAAATGGAACCAACTTTGCTGGGTACTCTAAACCGTGGACAATTTTTCTCAATCAATCCGGTTGGTTCTGACCTCGTGTTTCGGTCCTATTCTCCCCCTGATTAGGGCTCCCATCCATGTCTGAATGACTTACAAAAATACAGGCAACAGTATCATCCTTAATACTCCCTCCGGTTTTATCAGAGAACTTGTCAATGTTCAACTATTTTTCATCAAAGCTCCGGTAATCTACTCCATACTGTCACTGTGTTTGAAGTTTTTCCACGGATATTGCAGGTGAGCCTCAGTCCGAATAGGTCAAGCAACAGCTTTTCATATATTATGGCTCCGATTGCGTACCCGGCTACATGAGCGTCTAAAAACGGGTCTCACAGTGCTACTACTTCGCAGTAAATCCGTCGTTGTATTTCATGTAACCGAACGCAGCATTTTCATGGAGTATGCCCTTCTAACGCTAACCATGTAAGAATTCCGTCGAATTCTAGGGTTCCGGAAAGATCAACTATCCAGTCTCCGCAACAGACCACTTGCTGACTGTAAGGTATATATTCCACCAGAACAATTTGTCTGTTGCCGAAGAAAGTGGAATAAACGGATGAGCCATCTGAAGATTTAGTTTATCTTGTTCAGGACTTCAAAGCATCTTGGGTTCTCAATGGAAAACATGGTTCGATTTCTGTTCAATTCAAACCGTACCTACAACAGGGACTTCTCTTAAGGTCATTGCGTCATGTTTCAAGCCATTACTTGTTGTGCATCAGTATCGTTGGGTTAGTTTAGCACAATTGTAGACACAGTTGTGATGTTATAGGGTGAATCGATGAGTGTTGACAGAAAGTAAGCTGCAAACACGATCGTTTTGTAGTGTTTGAAATTGGGAGCGGTGCAACAATTTTTATCACTCGCCACTGCTTCTGTCGACGAGCCAAGCGAGGTTGTACCTCCCTGGTGGTCAGTTATACCTTGCTTTGAATTGTGCATTTTCTTAGAAGGACTGTCCTACGCTTAGCTCGATAATGGGAACGTCAGAACTTTTTGCGCCCAATGTAATGAAGCTCATAGGGTTGTATTCCACTAGAAGTACTCTAAAAGCTCTCCTTAATTCCCAGTTGGATAGGGCTCAAATGGAATTAGAGAGAATACTGCTACTGATTTTTCCCTGTCCGTTGTACAGTATTCTCTGTGTAAGAATCACCATAGGAAAACGCGATAAGTTGTCTTCGTTGGGTAACACCGGAACCTTAGTCATGCTTCATTCTATCTAGTAATAGTCGGATCACAAGACGAGAACAAGGTGAAAATCCCAGTTCTTCAGCAGCTGAACCTTAGATGAAGATGACTCACCAATACGACTCAAAAGGAATCGAACGCTATAGTTCAGGATCCATTGAGGAATTGAAGACGAAATCAAACATCTTTCGAAACAAAATCATGCTGGATATCTGATTGTCCAGCTGGTTGAATCCGGTGGGTATTAAAGCACTGAAGGATTGTTGCGCAGCTGGAGCGTTTTGTTAGGATAAACACGCATGCTTTTGATGGTTCAGATAGGCACAAGCGATTAGACCAGACCCTGGGCTACATGCATACTGGAATGGCTTACTGTTCCCATACGACAGATTTGTTTGGGTCCTCGTGATCAGCTTTCCTCTCAGTATGAACTGATGCCTTCTCACGAGTACAAGTGAAAAACTATACACAATTCCAACCTTTTCCCACAAGATCCAAGATCGAAACCCCTATATACCAGTGTTATTTGAAGTACAAATGGTGAATGATCACCGGTTGTTTAGGGATAATAGTGGTTTGACAGCGCTTCGCGGGGCGCCAGTACTAAACAGTTTGTCTTACCTGGAACCGCTCGACAGACGAAAATACCTTGCCACCGTCTAGTATTGTCGCTTGTTCTAATATGCCGTGTATTGTTTCAGGTATCATCTGGTTCGGTTGCATTTCACTGAAATCAGTGACAAAACAAAAGCAGGTCTGAGCTTATTGGTCAGTCTGCCTCATTCAGGTACCACAGCTTCACTGGTAGCCAAAATGTCTGAGGATTCGTGATCTCTAGAAGTATTCTTTGTATACGACGCCTTATATTAGATTTAGCATACAAACTTACTGACATCAGTGTTTCCTTTTATCACTACTTGAAGTTAGGCTAAATGCACTGATATTTGTTCGTGCAGTCGGTTTATGTGGTGTCCATTCAACAAAGGCCTATCCTGCCAAGACAGCTTGGATCACTCGCAATGGTCTTTGGTAGAAGAACTACTTTACATGGATGTCGAAGCGCTTCAAATGTACTACAGAGATCCTACGAAATCGCTAGAGAAGAAACTTCAAATTGTTGTTTTTTGGATCTTTGTTCGGTTGGTTCGTTCAATGGTTTGATCAGGGGTTGAATTTAGTTTTGGTGATGGAGTGGACCGCTTCCAGTAGATTCTTGATATTAACACCAAAAGTTAGTAACCCCAACCAGCGTGTCTTAAGGTGCAGAAACCAAAGGGCGTTCTAAACATCACCGCCCTCATCTTTGTATAAAATCAGACCACTACCTATACTAATCTGTAGTGAGCCACGACATCATTTTCCTTGTCTCGGACGTCCCTTATTGTAACTTTAAACACAGTGATATCATTAGTCCTGTTAAGTGGGGTGTACGGGTGTCAGTTCATCGTGACGCATGCCACGCCCCGAAATAACAGCGGCTGCATTGAAATCGGGCTCCGTGTGGTCTGCGCCTTCCCGAATGACGTCCGCATGATTATCCTTGAACGTGATGGAAAACCTCGCAGGTCGTGTCAGATAATCGAGCATTCTGTTATTTTCTTATCCAGACTGTCTAACCGAACTTCATCTTCCATTGTACATTACCTTGTGTTGGATGAGGTTGGCGGGGAATACTCGACCACTCCGACTGATGATGCCTTACTACAACTCAATACCCAGGTGTTTCTTTGGATGCTGTTGGAAGATATAGGAACCTTGCTTTTGGCCGTGTAATTTAAAGACAGATTTTTGCGACGATCCGACTTCCACCGGGTGCCTTATTGAAGCTTATTTCGCTATAATTTTATGGCAATGAAGCAGTTGCATCTACTTCTGGTGTATCGTTGTCTCTGAAGCTGGTGGTGATTACGGGAACTCATAATGGTTGTGAAGGTTACTTGGGGTGAGTCACATGACTTCTGTTCTGACCAGCAGGTCGTGCTTAAAGTTGGCATTATCTGTAACTCACGTGGTCGTTAGTGCGATAATAATGCTTTCTGAAGCTCACACACACAACTTGCGTTATTGGATGCGTCCCATTCGCAATATCTGTGCTGCCTGGGAATTCTTGACGTATTCGTGTTTCGGCTCTGCAGGTGAGCACGATCCCTGAGATATGGTGGCCCGGCATAAGATAATGCTGTGCGATGTATACCTCACACACTTCTGTTGATGTGCGCCGAAACACGTTGTGTAGGTTGAATCTCACCGAGGGTTTACGCAATGTACACATGGCCCGTGCCTGGATTTAAACATCTGTAGCACAGCAACAACCGAGAAACTGAATGCTGAATGGAAGTACTTGGTGGTCAAACGAGGTCCCGTTCTGCACATGGTCTCTCTTACGCCCACTTTAATAATTTTGAAAGTTCATTATCCTTCAAAAAAAATTAGCCTATCGATACATCTGCGACGCACAATCATGATAATAGTTTTGATCAGCTGACGTAAGCCATTTTCGTTCCACTCAGCATTCCTTTTATCTTATCCGTGCACAGATGGAATTGTCGTTTTCCTTCCATCCTATGACTATCAGCAGTCGGTCTGCTTACGTTGGGAAAAAACTGGTCTGTTGGAACGACTAAATAAACAAAAGCGCGTGTTTCGTGAGCCAAAAAATCCCAGTTCCTTGACTCAGGTGAGTCATCATTCCTAGTGTGCAACTACTCACTTATTTGTGTCTGGTTTTATCTTGCACGGTCACTAATTGTTGTTTGCCGGTCCATCTTCAACAATAATCGGCGTGGCCCAGTCACCCACAGACTAGTGAAAGTCTTACAGACATAACATTCTGTTATTTATGGTTTACGGTAACATTTTTTTCAATGATGGAAGTCGCCAGCCGACGGAAAAATGTTTTCCTGGCCTGTGCACTTTCTCTCTCGTTTGACGACGTGACGTCTCTTTAGGCATTTGCTTTTTTGGTGGCCACATCATGACATTGTTGAACTTGAAAATTCCTAATGCTCAACTCCGACTAGCCGAACATTTTCCACTCAGCTGTGCGCTACGCACAACTACGCTCCCCAATAACGCACTGATGATGTTACCTCGGTTGGTGATGAAACGTTTGCAATAAAATTGCCTAGCTCAGCGAACAAGCCAACGACCATCTACGCTACCTGAGCTACCGACCTTTTCCTCTATAGAAAATTCTCCACTCATCCGCAGTCTCGTATTAACCCAATGTCACTCACCAACTCGCTTCACGGCTACAAACCCGGAACAGGTGACTAGTTGAGTCCGTTGCAATAACGAAGGCCCGAACAAGACATTTACCAAGCAAGTACACATAAGCAGTGTGGTGCAACTTGCGATGGTTAGTGAAATCCTTATAAGGCTAGTCATTTTTTCTATCTCAAGATTTCTGGTGTTTAGTGCAATGATAAATTACTTTTCAATCCTATTTATATGAAAAGTACTCCCAATTAGCAACCCCCAATTTAACCTCCTTTTATACTACGAATGTGTAGCTCTGTGCATTGTATGAATTACAGCACTCGTCTCTCCCTCAACTCAGGATTTTTGGCAATCATATTTGATAGCCAATCTGGTCAAAAGTATGCCTGAAGGTTGTTGTAATTGCAGAAGTTAAATCATTTGATTACGGCTTCCAACGAAAGAGCGAAGTTTTACTAACATCCAGGCCGTGTTCATATTTTGGAGAAATGCTTACCTTATCCCCTATTGCTGACGAAAACAGCCATGTCTGTAGTCGATTGACTATCATTACTGAGCATGTTGAATACATCGCTAGCTACCAAATTAATTTGGTTACCCTCATTCGCCGTTTGAAGTATCTTTCTTCAACTGCCCTTCCGCAGCTTACTGACAGGTTGTGAGGTGAGTATCATGTAGCTGTAACAAATAAGCTGTTGCTAACCTGTTTTATTTCAAACCCGAGTGTGGCAGCTAATAGCCGTACGGCTGGTTGTCCTTCAATTCGTGACGCGTGATCGTTCGGAGACCCGAATCTTGAACGCTTGTACTGAGTTGGGTACTGCTGTGTCCTTTCGATATAATCGATCGCACAGTTGAAGCACGTCAGGTCATTGTCAAAATCAGCCAAGAATAAATGGAAAATATCAGAGTCAATGCTATCAAAACTCATCATAACTATGGTTACTTTTTTCATGGAAGAAAACTGATGTCCAGAAGAAACACCTAGATTAAATGTTTTGTGGTCCAACACCCGTAGTTTTTATCAATTAGATAATATCGAATAATCCTTATTCGTGTGATGCAGCTAACGTGTTTTGAGTATACATCCACAAAGTGTTCATTACTTCATAATCAGACCGCTTCATTGTGTACAATCATTCGGCGAACCACCACTCATAAAAGTTAACACAGAAGTGCTATCTTCTGTGTTAAAACCTCCTCCAGGCGTCATCTTGCGTGTATTTAACCCAGTCACTTAATGTTTACGGCCTTCCAATCCAAACCGCTTGTTTGGCAGTTCTGCAGGTGCACTTATCTTCATTCCGATTCTACGACACGCATCAGGCATTTCCTTCACATCTGTCCTAGAACAATTTCCTTATCGATCTTCCGTGCGTACTGTTGCATCTTTAGCCCACTGTTGATTTATGCAAGCCATGCACTTTCTTGACTGTTCAGTTGTCCGTACCTGAGGCTATGAGCGCGGATCGTCAGTTAATCATGCTGAGTGTTCGGCCCTGATGTATCGACCAGCTCGGTTTACTTCCACGTCGTTCTCAGAGACAACCGCTATTTTGTTAATAACCCTTAATAAAGCCTTAGTTAGCCAAAATGCCTTCTACAAGATCGAGACTCAACCCAGAAAGAGGCACCATTCCCTCTTCAAAGGTCATTGTTCTATACTTCCTTCCTACGATTTGCACCCTAGTTTGGTACCAAAACCATGTCATATGAGAATAATTTCGTTTTGTTTTCGTGTTTGGATCCATTTCTGCCTTCTTATATTCATGTTTTCTTCGGTCCTAGTGACATAGTCCTCTAGCCAATTCAAATTCTCCGGAGGTTGGTATATTATATCGTGAGTTGCGACAGGGGGGGTCCTCGACCGGATGCTAGTTACCAGTGAATGAATGAAATCAGGTCGGACTACGTATGTTTCCCCGAACCACCTTTGTTTCTATGCCCAGGTGCACTTCAGTAAATATGCTCTAAGACCTAATTATGTGAGCACCTCGATCATGCATTTACAAATATAATTCATTACTTAATGCCCCTGAAGAAACGTGAATCGGCCTGTGATTTTCTTGAATGGCAGCTACCCGTAAAGTACTGCAGCGGTAATTTCCGAACCTAGTCTTTTGGGGAAACGGTATGGAATACAGATGAGCAGATAACTCCCCAGGTGCTGAATACGTGTGCTAACTACCGAAATTAGCATACTTATTCAGTGAATCACCGTATTGGCAACTTCCCAATCCGAACTTTCTAAGGACGTGACGGGAAGCATCATCTGAAAGACTAGTTCCTGCGTTCCATTCATCAGAAACTGTCAGGGTACAGAAGTGGGGTGGGCGGCTTCTTGTAGCTCAGTGAAGAAGTACCATTGGATCAAAAAATTAGGCGCGTAGTTGGTTACAACGGTCGGATTCACTGGAGAGCTCTTAAATCCCGGACAGCATTTACTCTTAAGGCAATAAGAATCCGGGGGTGCAGTTGTTAATAAGAAACGATACCACGATCTGGGCTGCCGTTTTACTGTCAACTAGAAAACTGCCTCTCAGGTTGGGCTTTGATGACACTGAACCTAAACCTGGAATCCATGTCTCCAGAAGAAAAGCAACGTCGGGTTGGTTACCACAGGAGATTCGCATAGCAAGGCTAACTTTTAGTGCCAGGGGGAATATGGACGTTTCATTCACCCATGTGTAGTACATTCTTTATTGAATAGAGAGGTGACTAAGCCTATATATTTGCTATTGCGACGGTTCGGCCAGCTTCGGAAAGTCAATTACATGGGATACCGTACGACAAATGGCTTTGTGTTTGAGAACTTAGGCATGGATTGCCACTGTGTTTTGCAATTCTTTGTGGCATCCTCAGCGCCACACATCTCTAGCCTTCGCAAAGCCAACGGCAGGACAACAGAGAGTTTTTTTGGAGGTGGGAGCTCTCAGGAACACCACCGTTTTGTATCCACTCATTTCATCTGGTCTGGAGTTTGTTCGGCTTTGCGCATGCAGGCGTCACCAAGTGGGTAGCAGGGTTTTATGGTTGTCAATGATTCTTACTTTCCGTAGGGTGATCTGGGTGTGCCAAGTACTATCCAGCATTACATAGTTCTCGTGATATGTGAAGTCCTTTTACGGTTGGCCTTGTTTTCATTAGTTTATTGTAATATGTTGGAGTCTCGGTTTCCTGTCCTGATTCTACCACGTCCTGCTGACACCATAGCCAGAGCTCAGTTAGCCCGCGTGCAATTGCTGTCACACTGCCCCATCACAAGGAAGAGGAGACAGGCTCAGTTACGACACAATAATTTTGATGTTCTGAAAAATAGCGCTTCCAAATTTATAGGCGATTGTTACTATTATATCCCATAATAGTACAAATTCAAACCTTCTAAACATTCCCAAAGACAGCTGATCCCAGTTAAAGCCTTTTTACACTAATTTTTTTTGAGATTTGACTGTATATTATTACCTTTTGAGGAAGCATTCAATCTCAGAGGGGACCAATCTGTATGTATCTTATGAGCAGTATTCCTCACCCGTGAAAGAATACTGTGGAAAATTTGTGCTTTGGATATTCTCACTTTCCGGTAGTCAGTTGGTACCAAAATACTTCACACAAACTTGTTTCCAACCTCGTTTGGGATCTCCAAACGATTTTCAAATGCATGAACTTCTGCTACCATAGTAGCCTACAAAGGAAAACCCTTGAAAGGGGGTTCGCTACCCCGGATGCAGCTGCGTAGCTTCCCTCACCATCCACGATTTGCAGAGCTTCACCTCTTCTTTCCATAGAATGCCTTCTCTTGGGGGAATTGCTTTGCACGAACCAGGGCGGGCGATCCATTTGGTCTTCAATGAGTACCTTCCTCGGAAACTGCTCCTCCATACCATGCGCCATGTGCGCATGAACGCTGTGGAATTTCAAGATTCTAAAATGAACCACTCAGCTGCATCGACAATGGAGTAGTTGGCGATATTTGGTTAGGAAGGACGGAAATCTGCCAACCTGCTTGCACTGTAACTTTAACAGACCTCTGTGGGGCAGTGAATATTCACGATTCCCATGCCAACTTTCTGCCTAAGAGATAACAAACAAAGTTCCAACTTCTCACCTCATGTAGCTGACCAGAGCAAAGCAGTGGCTTGAAGTGAGGGTGATGGGCTATCCTATCTGCAATTATTGCCGACCGCTCTCGACAAATGATTCCTAGTACCTGCATATTTTTTTCGGAACCAAATCAATTCATTGAACTTCAGTCACGCACCCCCTCCTTTACTGACAACATTCCAATTACCTATTGATATGTTCAGCTTAGATAAAGCAGATCTATTTACAAAGTGCTTCCTAACCAAAATTTAACCATCAAGGATAGCAGGTGTAACCGCGAAAATTTTTGTGTGTGAAACACTGCGCACTCCATTTCTCTTTTGGAATGCAACAGGTGAAAAACCCTAACTTTTGGTG